GGGCGCAGCCTTGTTTGTTGCGAATCAACCGAGGTTTGGCCAGAAGAGCTTTGGCCCAAGATCCTCCCGCGCTTGGAGAAGACCTTGCCGGAGGCGCAGTTCCCGTGTGGAAGGCGCTTTCTCTCTGTTTCTTCGATCGCCGAGTCGAAGGTGTTGATGCAGCCAGAGCACTCTGAGACCTTCACGGCCCCGGGATGGGGCGGGAGGGTTTAGGGCCACTCGGATCTATCAGTGTATGTCGTGAGAGCACCCCTGGCCATTGAATCCAAAACGGCGAGCGGGGGGTCCCATTGAGACGTGGGTGGACGGAACTTTGGCAGAGTCGCCACCAGAGCCCCGGTCCGGTTGCGGGAGTGGCCCGAGTGGCTGCAGAGGACCGTGTTGCGGCAGCATCCTACAAGGGGGCTCTCAAGCGAAGAGCGGGCCCTGGGCATTTAAGAACTTCGATTTGGGATGCAACAATGAGCGCGATTTCTCCGCCAAAAAAGAACTCAAAATACGCACGGCATAGTGGAGGAGCACGATTCAGTAAGTTGGTAGCCAAAATCCACAGCAGGATTGTGGAAAGAGTGCATGTTTGCTTTAGAGTTGAAATGGTCCACTGTGCCACGGCTCTGCACCTGTCGGAACGTGTTACCAATAACTCCTGTAAACCCTAATCCCGGATCCCTAGAACCCCTGAGAATCTTCGGCTAGAACCCTGAACCTAAACCCTAAACCCCAAATCTAAACCCTAAGCCCCAAACCTAAACCCCTACCCTAATAGAGTCGCCCTTCTCAGCGGAATGCGAACCGGAGGACTACACGCCCAGCGGCCCTTTCTCGGTTCCCAAGTCGAAGACGCTGAGTTTGGAGGAGCGGGGGAAGGCGGACCCGGCCGCGGCCTCAGAGAGCTTTTCGGGGGAAATCTAAGACTTTGAAGAGGGTTTAGGGTTTAGGGTGGGGAGGGGTTTCGTTATTTGAGGGGCCCTGGCACGACCAGAACTTTGAACGCTTTCCGAGGAGTTCATCGATCAAGTGATGTACAGCTGCGGGTCCTCGGCCCCGAAGACCTTCAAAGAACGGAGGCCTCCAGAGACGTCTCTTGCGGGTTCTCGCGAGCCCCGGTGCCCCTTCTTGTCTATGCTGCTATGTGCTGCTCATGTCCAGAGCTGTTTGAGCTTCGAGCCGGAAGGAGAATCAGGCCCTTTTTGGTGACCTGTAGGGGGGGGACGCCATGCGGTTCCGGGCCCTCTTGCAACTGACTCTTGCCGTCCTGCCGCTGATCTGGCGTGATGCCCAGATGCCTGAAGTCGGGTTGCAAGCTTCTTGGAGTGCTCTCACTCTCTGACTCTCGCTTTCTTCATGCAGGCCCTCCGTTGCCGGTGGTTGCTGCGACTGCGCACGCCGGGAGGGAAACGACTGTAAAGACGGTGCCAGCAAGCACCGCAGGCAGCGCGTCTTTTGCACGGAACAAACCACCGAGCCTTGGCGGTGGGAGCTCAGCGTTCGCAACTCTGCCGTGCTTCAACCGAATCTGTGAGCTCTCGTTCTTGTCTGCTCCATTTTCCATCGAGTGTTCCTTTGCTTGCAATGTTTAATCTTACGCCTCCTCTTTGCAGAGTTCCCTTTGGTCTTTGACAGTCCAACAGAAGCAGTGGCGCATCTTTCCAGGTTTCCAGGGAAAGCGTTCTTTTTTGCACCTTGTTCAATTCTGTCGATAGTGACCAATGAAGACCTCAGTGCAGCACCTTTTGTTGGATGTGCGTAACTTGGGTGCTTCTCTCTCATGTCAGGAAGGTTTGTGCATCACGGCTGGCGGTCGGACCTGGGTCGGCGCCGGCACTTGCCGATGGACCTGTGCGGGCCAAGAGGAGAAGACGGATCTCTGAGAGGTGCTTAGCGCAAGCGCCGTAGCGAGATGTAGCAGAATGCGAGGGACGACGCAACCGGATTCTAGCCCATGTAGGGAGTCGGGATCTCGAGTACCTGCTTGGTCGCTGTTTTTCCATGCTCCGTAGCTGCACAAACTTGCAGTACGAGAGGGGAACAGCCAAGAGGTGCACGAAGCGGAGACTCCCCGGAAAAAAAAGGCGCTGCCACCGCCCACTAAGTGCAGGAAAGCTTTCGTCAATGTCATGCAATGCACTTAAAGCCAAAGTGTCTTCTCACTTCCTCTGGTCAACGACTCTCCGTTTCATGCAGAACGTCTCGCGAGGGCGCGGCCGAAGGACACCGGTTGCATGAACTGCGCGGCAACGGCACCTACGCAACTCTGGGAGGCTCGCTCGTGTGCAGAGAGAGGAAGCCCAGGGCTACGACTCCTACTTCAATAGATCCATTAGGGAGGGGGAGTTCGTTTTGCACTTGGGAGTCTGAGGCGATAGGAGTCAAAACCCGTGCAGGCATCCGAGGGCATGGTGCACCTCCTCACCGACCTCGCCTAGGGCCGAGTCATGCGGTGCAATGTGCCTAAGTTAAGCATTTTCTAAGTTAGGGTCCCTTTCGGGGTCCTTGTAATAACTACTATTTAGGGCCCCTTTTGGGGTCCTTATAATATACAATTTAGGGTCCCTTATGGTGGCTGCCGACGGGGAAAGCCTTGAGTCACGAAGGCCAGCTTTGCCAGCTCCACGGGCTCTGAGAAGAAGCTGGAGCAGTTGACAGCTCTCCTCCCCAGTCTTTCCAAGGCACGCCGGAAGCTTCTTGCTCAGGAGTCCGACCGCAATGGACATGGCAAACCACAGCAAACAAGAACCCAGGACACAGGAGTCCGACCGCAATAGACATGGCAAACAACAGCAAACAAGAACCCAGGACACGGGAGTCCGACCGCAATAGACATGGCAAACAACAGCAAACAAGAACCCAGGACACAGGAGTCCGACCGCAACAGAC